TTTTTGTTGCAGAGCATCTGCGTTTCTCTGATGATCAGGTAGATTTACTGTGTGCCATAATGTTGTCCAATTCTATTCTTATTCTCTTACATTCACCACCATAGTAGAGAAGCACCCCCTCCCCCCACCAAAAAAAAAAGGAAAAGAAAAGAAACCCGTTTATATTTGTCCGTTGGAGGTTCCTTCTACTCATATCTCAAGAGGAAGGAAATAAATTAAAAAGGAAAAAGAAAGAAAGAAAAAGAAAAAACGTTGTCCTTATATAAAGATTCCTAGTCTCTGAACTTATTGGTATCCATACAGATGGAAACCTGGAGGAGCGAATTTCAGAGAATAGAGGAAGAAGGGGATGAAGAAGGCTTTGAGGAGCTCTAGTAAAGTTGCAGAATTTATTGCTTCCATCTCCTCTTATGTTTGCTTTGTAGAGGTTTTGAGATCAGTATTTATTTGCTTTTGAAATGCCCATCCCTAATGTTTGTCTTGTTAGCTTGTTGTTGTAACCTAGCAGCTATTATGGTTCTTGGCAGCTGTTTCAACTTGAAAATGATAGTCTAATGGTTATCACAGTTGGACGTTCATTTTGCTAGTGTTTTGTTTAAAGATTATCAGGTCGCCAAGTTGCAAATGTAAATCAAAATTTTCTTAGATTCATGATTCTGCTATTTTGTCTGTCATTGTTAAAATTAGCAATCTTATCATCGTGTTGCCTTATTACATACAAAACTTTGAAAATGCATGAAGACACAGGCGGAGCCAGGATTTCAACATTATGAGTTCTTAATTTTGGAACGCCGATTTGAAATGCTAATGACTGAATTCTAAATTTGATTTTTGTTTGTATGTAATAAATCTTTTTAACATAGATATGTTGTTTGAACAAAAGCTATTGGGTTCGACCGAATCTGTAGCTCGACTTCTGCCTCCGCCCCTGCATGAAGAGACATAATATCTGTTGGTTGACCATAATTCTACTGTTTTATATTAAGGAAAAAGGAAACAAAGTTGTTTAAGTCTATTGGGGCTTCAAGCGCAAAGCAAAGATAAAATGGCGGGCTTTAACAAAAGGTGTAGTTGAATGTAAAAACAAATTTTACGTGTAGTTCATGAAAATAGTAACTATAAACTATATAAAGAAAAGAATTGAAAAACACAAAAGTTAGTTCAGTTATGCGTTGTTTAGAGTGGCTCTCCTCAAGGCAAAGCCCCAGGCCGTTGTGAATATCTTTTGATATTTCTCTCTCGAATAGGCTCCACGAATAGAACTTGGTTGTTATGGCTAGTTACGTATGGACACATGCAAAAACAGATTTAGGAAAGGGGCAGAAATTTACTAACTTAGCGTAGAGATCTCTTAAGACTTCCACACAACTATCCTAACCGACAAGCTTGGGAGAAGAGAGTTTAAAATAACCATAAGTTATCTTTAAATATTCCTAAATTTTTCTAGTATGTCGAAATGAGACTGCCACTTCTCAAATATCCGACAACTGTAGGAAGGGAGCATGAGGAGAAATGGTGCCCCTGACATTCCCCTCAGATGAATGGATGGAAGGCTATTGCACAACAATTACATGGGTAATCATAAGCCTAAAGTTGCAGCTGGGCTACATGCAACTGGCGGCAGCATTTAGGTTCAATTTTAGTTTGCTGAAACACAGATATTGTCCATTTACTTCTTTGCGTACGTAGTCAGCATATGATTCTTGGCAGTAATTCTGATCCTTGAAGACTATGCATGACAACAGTTTATTGCATATCCCATATTCTAGAAAGCAAGTACGCCTTTTGCTTCAACCATCCCAACTTCCTTTGAAGCCACAGTATCGGCAGAAGAGCATTTGCAGCGTCATTAGAGAAGACTGATGCCTACAAAGACCTTTATTCTTAAGATATGCTAGAGTACGGCACAATTTGCATAAAGGAATCTATACATGCTTCATACCTTCCATTTGATCTCCCTTCAGCAGCAGTTTGTATCTCACTGACTCTCTGCAATCCGAGTCTTTTTGACTTCCATAAATAAGGTTCATACAGTTAGTCAGTATTTGTTAGTAACATAGCAAACAACATAGACCCCTATTTTCGTCATTTCTTTTTTTGGATAAGTCATATATAACAACTTACACCATCTTCACCGACTGGTGTTGGAACCTTAGCACTTGTTGCAATGTAACAGCAAACCGCTATGCACATTCTCCATGCAAAAGCTACTGGATATGGAAGCAACAGATCAGCAGTGATAACTGGAATCGAATGAAGAAACATGACATGTTCACAGTCTGAGGTAGAGCAGTTGACAATGACTCAGAGCCTCTTGTCCCAGTTAATCATATTTTCCTGGCGCAGGAAATGATACAAGCACAGCAGTGAAAAGCATTAATGTCGTTAGTCAGTAGAACAAAGAAGAATATCCAAAAGAAATTCTCAATTTGGGGAAACGAGAAGCCAGTACACGTAAGAGTTCTGTGATCCGCCTGTGACATTTGTCAAGCAATAGTGCTTTCTCCTTGGCACTAGACTTGACTTGTAAAAATATCTAAAGAAAAGTCCGTTTTGAGAAACGTGAGCTAGAACCGAAATTGCTTCAAGCAGAACATATCAACTATCTATGAGTGGTGGAAACGTTTGCTCTAATTTCATACCGTTAACAAACCGAGCATCTTTCATTTAGTCGTCTGTCAAATTTTTAACAGCCAGCTACCACTTACTATTTCTCCTTCAAGAATTCACCCCCAGCTAAAACCAGGTTCCTTGGTTACCTGCCTTTCTGACATAGCTGCTCTAATTTCCTCTGTCTCACCCCATCTACCTAACGATGTATACATATTTGCTAGAAGCACATAAGGAGCAGAATTCTGTGGGTTGAGACGGATTAGCTCCTCTGCTGCCCGCCTTGCTAAGGTTACATTTCCATGAAGCCGACAAGAACTGAGCAAAACCTCCCACACAATAGAGTCATCTTTGCATGGCATCTTATCGACTAGCTCTTCCATTTCACTAAACCGGGCAGCACGACCCAGACAATCAATTATGCAAGTGTAATGATCAACAAGTGGCTCCAACCCATATTGCAGCTGCATCGAGTTGAGTATCTTAAGCCCCAGATCTACCAGCCCAGAGTGACTACAAGCAGTTAAAGCAGCAATAAAGGTTATAGTATCAGGTTTTCCTCCTGAACAAATCATGTCTTCATACAAGAAAATAGCTTCATCTCCGCGACCATTTTGTGCATAGCCATGTATCATCTCATTCCATGTAATTGTATTCTTATAAGGCATCATGTCAAAGTGCACCCTGGCCCCATTTACATCACCACATTTGGAATACATGTCAATTAGAGTACTTCCAACTACAACATCATTAGCATATCCACCTTTGACTATCAGACCATGAACCTGTCTCCCCTGTGATAATGAGGATAGCTTTGTACAGCTACTCAGTGTAGTAGCATATGAAAACTCATTAGGCAACATCCCCATCTGTAGCATTTGCTTAAAGAAAGCAAAAGCTTCTTTGTCCAATGAATTATAGGATAAACCGGTAATTAAAGAATTCCAACAGACTATATCTGCTTGAGAGAGTCCATTAAAAATACATAGAGCTGCTTCTGCTCTACCACACTTTAGGTACATTAAAATAAGACTACTAGCTATGTATATATCTCCAGGAAAGACACACTTCAACGAAGTAGCATGGACCTGTTCCCCACATTCTAGTACACCAATCTCAGAACATGAACTAAGTATGATAGCCAAAGTGGTCCGATCAGGTTGCTGATTTCGAAACTGCATTTCTCTGAACAGCTTTAGTGCCTCGAGATGGTCCTCATTCTGGGAATAGCCTGAAAGTAGAGCATTCCATGAAATCAAGCTTGGGCAAGCCATGCTATCAAATATCAAACGGCCATTTTCAACATCCCCTGATTTAACACAAGCCGTGAGCATATTTATGTAAGTAACCTCATCTGGCTCAACACCAACACCCCGCATCATTTCCATGTACTCCATCGCTCTTTTTTTATCATGATTCTGTCCAAACCCACTTATCATAACATTCCAAGAAACAGTACTAGTTTCTGAAAGGTTTCCAAACAATCCTTCAGCACTTTCCATGTCACCATTTTTTGCATACATATCAAGCAAGGAGTTACATACGTGAAGCTCTCCTTCAAATCCAAGTTTAATTGTCAAACCGTGGACTTGCTTCCCCTGTGTGTTAGGTAGATCGTTATCAGTCTCACCATTACAACCAAAATTTGAACCCCCACCTTTAGCACAAACCCTCAGTACACTAGACAATGAAACAGAGTCAATCCTAATTCCACTCCTTTGCATTAACCTAAACATTTCAAACGCCTCTTCCACTTGGTCAGTTTCAACCAGTCCACACATCATTGCCGTTAAGGAAACCTCATTAGGCTCATCCAACTCCCTAAACGCCTTCAATGCATCCGGAGGGCACCTACATTTTACATAAAGGCTCAACAAAGCATTCCCAACGTACACATTCTTGTGAAGCCCATACTT